CTACCAATACCACCGAAGCTGCATCAATAGCTTGTTACATTCGCCTTCAATGCTCACTCAGTCGGCGAGTGTGGAAATGAGAACCGCAGGGTGAATACTAATAGCTTCTGTCAGGCCTTTCAGGACAAGTGTTTGTCCAACTGTATTGGCTCCTCATTTATTCTTGCTATCACTGCCTATTCATCTCATTCTTAGCTCTGAAGGTGAAAGCCTTGATTCCCCTTCATCAGAACTGACAGCATCACCAAAGCTTCCTCCTCATCAGGCAGGACAAAAAAAAAAGCCCTCCTTCCTTGGAGTGTTCCAATGTTGCCTCTTCAGAAAACAAAAGAGAAACAGGCCCCACTTCAGAGGCCTGACTCTTTGTCTAATGATTTTCATTAGCTAATAGGCAGTTCTTTTCCAGGCTGAATGTCTCCCTACCTCTCCCCGCTCCATTGTCCCTTCTGTGAATTAGCCATGTTGTGATTGTCAGATAAATAAGTGCTTATAATGGTGTTATTTCCTCTAGAAAATTTGTGAGTACTGACACAGATGATGATACATTCCAAAGTGACACCATCTAATCTGCTCGAGTCTCCTTCAATAAACAGTTAATTAACATTTGACCTATCAAGCCTTAAATACATACAGCAGCCCATTTAGCAAATCATTTACTGTAGGGTGGTTAAGGAGTAAGGGCCATGTCATATGAGGCACTTTGTACTTGAAAGCTACTCATAAGAAGCTTTATTTGTACTTAATCTTCCCTTGATTGATTTTTTGGTGTGGTTTTGTTTGAAAGCTAAAGTGCTGAGCTGGTGAGTGGGTTAACCCTATGTGAACTGGAGTTTGTTTATGCCAGTAAGCATATTAACCCAGTTTTATTCTAAAAGAATAATGGGAAAGAATAGGGAATTCTGAATGGGAATCACTGACTGTTGTGCTTATTTTCAGTGGAGGAAGAACATCTCTGGAGCAGTAAGCTACATATCCAATCTGTTTGTGATGCACCTACCTACTCATTGTGCAGCCCAGTGCCATACATGTTTACTCAGAAAACCCTCTCATTTCAGTAGAACTAACTCCAAAATATGATCCAATGAACTGTATGTATGGGGTTTGTATTCAGAGGAGAGAAAAGATGAATGGTGTAAGGAATGACAGGAGAAGAGGTGGAAGGTAATTTATGAAATGACAGGAGGAATAGGTATGGATAGATCAGTCTTTTTCTGGTCCATGTTAGTTTTGCATGCAATCATTCATTCATAAGTTTGTTTAACCCCTGTTCCACAGTAATCTACCACATGAAAAAAGAAGTATTTCAAAACATTTTTTTATCCCAGATTTAGGCATGTTTTTTGAGCCAATGACTGTATCGCAGAATTTGGATGGAGAGGTGTAAATTCTTAAGGATAATTACAACTTGATCCATATCTAAGGACTCATCAAGACTCCTGCTTGTCCCACTGTTTTCCATTGGGAAACCTGATCTTTATCATTGGATTGGAGCAAACATCAGTTGTGTTTTGCACAGATTGAAACTTCCTCCAATTCAATGCTAAAGAGTGGTTTTTCCCTGGGAAATGGGTGGGGCAAATAGAAAACTGCTCAGACCCATGTTTCTAGGCACAGGACAAGCAAAAGTGTGGACGAGTTTAGGATGTGCAGATCAAGTCAGTTTGCATCAAAATTCACAAAAGAATACCGTATTTTTCGCTCCATAAGACACACTTTTTTCTTCCTAAAAAGTGAGGGGAAATGTCTGTGCATCTTATGGGGCGAATGCATGGTCCCTGGAGCCGAATTGCCCAGGGGCAAAAAGCAGATCATGCTTTTTTTAAAAAGAAGAAGAGGGAAGTGGGTGTGGAAACAAAGCTGCTGATCAGCAAGCGATCAGGGAGAGAGATAAGGGATGCTAGCAATAAAGGAGGCTGCCTGGGAGGGGGGAGGTAAAGACAGCAAACTTGCAAAGGGGGGAAACAGGAAGACTAAATCAATGAGGAGAGAAATTAGAAGAAAAGGAGGAGCAAAAAACTGCTCCAGCTAAGGAAAAGACAGTAAGGCAAACAAGAGGGAAGGGAGTGTTGAAAGGAAGCAGCTGATCGGTGGGATCAGGAAAGAGATAAGGGACGCTAGCAGAGGCTGCCTGGGAGGGGGGAGGTAAAAGCCCATGGATCCTCAGGATTTTTACATTGGGTCACCCCAAAGTCACCATCAGATCACATAGCATGTCCATGGCTACAGCCTGCACCAAAAAAATCATGCATCCACTGTTTCCTGGGGCTGCAATGGTGCAAAAAATGTGGTTACAAAGCACAAATCCCCATGGATCCTCAGGATTTTTGCATTGGGTCACCCCAAATTCACCATCAGATCACATAGCATGTCCATGGCTACAGCCTGCACCCAAAAAATCTTACATCCACTGTTTCATTCAGAATATTTTTTCTTGTTTTCCTCCTCTAAAAACTATGTGCGTCTTATGGTCAGGTGTGTCTTATGGAGTGAAAAATACGGTAAGTCCCACAAGCATCCCTAAAGACTCCTAGTCTACAGTGAATCTGTTTTTGTTGTGACACTCCATTGTTAGCCCTGGGCTTCTTACACCTACAGAGGGCTTCTAGCATAGTTAGCACTGTCACAGACTCATAAAATCACAGACAAAAACAAACATGCATTAAAAGTTTAACTGGCTCTTTAGAATGCATAGCAATTGTTTTAATTGCATGGATTTGCATTTCTTGCACACATTTTTGACAGATGCTTGAGGCTGACAATATGAATGTTGATTGTTGCTTAAGATTATTTGCTGAAAGAATTTGCCATGATAGTCATTCCATTGTCGTCATCCCATCTACATGCTGTGTTTGAATGGTCTGAGCAGTAAATATTAGAAGTTTGCAGTGGCTCTGTGCTGGGCCTGAATAGGAAGGCAAATCAGGGTGATCTGGGGAGATTTCACCCCTCTTTAAGTCAAACTGTGATGTCAACAAAAAGTCCTGAGTTGTAGATGGGAAAGATATCTTCAGTGGCCAATGGGAGATGGGCAGCTGTGTCCCATAAAAAGAGATTCTAGCTTCTTCCTGTGGCAGCGTAGGATTAGCCAGATGCCACCCGAGATTGACTAACCATTTGGGGGACATCCATGATTGGTCTTTGTGTATTATTATTATTATTATTATTATTATTATTATTTTGCCTACAGTGTACAGTTCTGATCTGGGATGTGTAAATTGGATGCCTACCTGTTGCAACTTTGAATTCCAGGTGAGCTGGCAAGCAATTAGGAGAAGCACCCTGAGGTACCTCTTGGGAAGGCTTTCTGACACCCTCCCTTGCATTGCCACCCAGTTCTTGTGGTTTGCTTGGTCCGATAGTCTTGGGACCTGAGGGCTCACCCTGATGAATGCTGGGCAGCAGGTGCAGGGTGGGCAAACAAAGCTCTCCTTTGTGGAGGGTTGCACTGAAAGCCTTTCCTTAAATATGGTGTGTGGGTTAGAGCTAGGGTGCTGTTGCCAAAATATGGAGAGCAAAGAGTTTGGCATTCCGCTGTTCTCTGCCAAAATCCAACCTATGGGCATTCCATTCTCTTCTGTAGATCATTTTGCTTTGTTAATAAAGGTTTTGGCCATTTACTCCAACTTTCTTGTTTGTGAGTCTTCATTTCAGTGGGGGGGGGGGGTTAGGGAGCAGCAAAGCTCTAATATCCACTCTGATAGGATTATGACAATTTATTACTTAGATTCCAAAGCATTAACCTCTCTGGAGTAGAAACATAACCCCCCCCCCAGCAAATATAAACATTTACACAAAAATATTTCTAATGAAATGTAGAGAAACAGACAGCTTAACAACTCATACTTGTTTAATATTAGATTAATTGGATTAAGAAGTGAATTTGAAAATTAATGGTCTAATTACATCTTTCATATAAAGGAGAGGGGGGAGCAGTGGTGTGACCCCCAATCATTATTCAGAAAGTGTGTCTAAACTGATATACCAATGAAAGTAAATTAAACTATGATTCTATCGGAAAATAAATATAGCAAAGATTAAAAACAAATTTGAGATTAATAACTTTACTCTCTTCTCTTTGCTAAACTGAATATATTTAATTTTGATTAATATCAGTGTTGGGATTTTATTTTATTATTTTACTTAATCACTTTTACTTACAAAGCTGATTGCTAATCTCAACTACTTCCCACATTTTTAAAAGACATTTCATTTTACTTGGGTAATCTACAACTTTTCTTGCAGCACAATGACATTTCACCATGTTCCATATTTCATTTTTTGTTGACCTTAAATCATTTTGCAAGGTTTACGCTGAGAGATCTATCTGATTTTCCCAGGCTGGTTTATTAAAAATGATGAAGGGGACTAAAATAATGCTTATTTACATAGTCTACACATTGCCAACAGTTTCTTAGATATATGGGCTAAGTTCAAACTATTTCCACATGCCCAAGGTCCTTTAGGAGCTAGCGTACCTCAAATAGTACCCCTGTACACGCTCCACACAGCATTGCAAACCCTTTCTAAAACTGAGGCGAGATTTAAAAGAAGATTACACATGGAAGTATGATGCTATCTAATGCAAGATTGTTTCAGCTGAGATTTTTAAAGCTAAATCTAAAGTTGCCTGATTTACTCATGGGTGGCTATCTAGTCTTTTATATATTGTATGTGTTCAGATTATTAATGTATTTGGATGACTTTGTATGATGCTATGATTTTGTTGTTTAAACTTATGCTAATAAAGGCCAATAACAATAATATAATGCAAGGCAGCTCACGAACTTTGGTTAGCAGGTAGGGTGTAAATACTCCTAAATAAAATAAAGACAAATAAAAATAAGATGTTCATAGAAACCAATTTTCAATGTCATGGGTATGGTACTCCAAAGCCTTGTCCATACCTAAAGTTGGCCTTTGGATTCTTAAGGTAACTTATACATGAAAACAGAATAACTAATTTTTCCTAAAGGAAATAAATGACTAGCATGTTCAGTACTGGATAGCTCAGCTGGTTAGAGCACGGTACTGATAATGCCATGGTTGCTGGTCCAATCCCTCTAAGGGGCAGCTGCATATTCCGGCATTTCAGGGAGTTGGACTAGATAATCCTCAGGGTCCCTTCCAAGTCTGTGATTCTACGTATCTTGTGAATCAGTACACTGATGACATGAAGCTCCATTTCTCCATAACATCTCAACCAGGAGAGGCTGTAAAAGCTCTGCAATGGTGTCTGAATGCAGAGGTGAACTGGTTGAGGGCCAATAAACAATGCTTGCATCCTGGGGAAATGGAGGTTCTTTGGAGGGATGGTTCTTTTCTTCATGAAATAGCCAAGCTACCCATTCTGGATGGGGCTGCACTCCTTCTAAAGGTGGGAGGCTTGGAGGTACTCCTGGCAACATGTCTGTCACTAAAGGCCCAAGTGTCTTCTATGGCTAGGAGTGTTTTTTACCAGCTCTGTCTTGTTAACTAGTTACAGTAACTTGGGAGTTTTGGTGAAATGCTTCAGTGGTGGTTCACTGAGGTAAGTCCAACTAAGCTTAATTAGACTTACTCGTGTATATAGCTGACAGACTAAGAACCAGAAGTTTCAAGGTGTTTTTTCCTTGTCCTTTTTTTCCTCTTCCTTTTTTGGTTTGTGTTTTTATAAAGATTTGTTTAGTTAGTTTATAGTTTAGTTAGTTTTATTAGTTTATTAGAACGCAGGTGGCGCTGTGGTCTAAACCTCTGAGCCTCTTGGGCTTGCTGATCGGAAGGTCAGTGGTTCAAATCCTGCGACGGGGTGAGCTCCCGTTGCTCTGTCCCAACTCCTGCCAACCCAGCAGTTCAAAAGCATGCCAGTGCAAGTAGATAAATAGGACCACTGTGGCGGGAAGGTAAATGGAGTTTCCGTGCACTCTGGCACTCGTCACAGTCCTCCGTGCACCAGTAGCAGTTTAGTCATGCTGGCCACATGACCCAGAAAACTGTGGACAAACGCCGGCTCCCTTGGCCTGAAAGCAAGATGAGCGCCGCAACCCCATAGTCGCCTTTGACTGGACTTAACCATACAGGGGTCCTTTACCTTTTAACTTATTTTTTATTTTCTAAAAAGATATTGGATATTTGATATATTGGGTACTGAGCATATCTTTTTTCAAACTTTAATAAAATCGATGGAGGAAAGACAAGACAACTAGACCTACTCCTAAATAAGGGTGCATCGGATTCTGAAGCTGCCTTTTAATAAGTCAAGTGCATCTCAATCTGTACTGTCAACAGTGACTGGCAGTAGCGCTCCTCTTTTGCGTCCCTTCCTAGATATGCAAGGATTGTATGTACATGAGTTCTGTTCTAAAGTTAGGATGCATAGATGGATTTATCCTCGCCTCCTAAACATGCTAGGGTAAACTCATTCCCTCCCCTCCCCCAGAAAAAAGAATGACAGCTGTAAACAAAGAACAGACTCATTCCTTAGCTGCTGGTGTGTTCAATTTAAACAACTGTATGTAATTTAGGGCAGTCAGACAGCTGTTCATATGGTTAAGTGAAGTGTACTGTAGCTCCAATATATTTTATTGCTTGGAGTGATACTGAATGGCACTATGTCCTGTCGTGGTTCACCAGCATGAAATCTTTAATGAAATGTTGTCCCCTTCTGTCTTATCGTGTTGTGCAAGGCGTCTGATGGCTTACCCAGCTCTAGATCTCAAATGCCAAAGGATGTTTTCTAAGGCTCTCTATGTTTTAGGGATGGGTGGTTCTTACAAGACTTTGTGATGTTGGATTATGAGATATGAATACACAAGTAGGCACTGGATAAGCAGATGTGTGGAAAAAGCCCTGGATCTAGAGCAAACCAAATGTTCTGTGAGTCATTTTAGGGCCTCCGTTCAGTTTGAAGTTTCGCATAGTAGAGGCTTCGTGCAGCTAAATCTGATTGTATTAAATTGCTTCCATGGTGCCAGTCTTTCTGTGGAAGGTGGCTATTTGTATCTTTGCTCCCTGTGAATATTAAAGGCCTTTATGTTATTTTGCAATTAATATAAAATTCAAGAACTTGGCATTTTAATGGCCAAAATCTTGCTGACAATAATTAGTTGAGTCAAGCTATATTTTGACATCAAACCAAAAATTTGACAGACTAATATGTCCAATGGGCTTTTTATCACACAGTCCCCAGTTTTGATAAGGTCTAGAGCTCTGCCATTCAGATGTTATCCATTAGGATAGGTTTATACATCTCAAAGTATACGCTACTTCAGTTTCTTTATTGAAAGAAAGTGGAAGTCAGATAAAAGGCATTATAGCTATTAAATCTCAGGGTTTTGGCAGAAATGAAGCAGCATCATGTGAATACTAAAAGCTCTGAACAAATAACACTTCAAGGTAATTCTAGACAGAGGCCTGGGGTTGTCAGGGACTGAAAATTATAATTAGTCCAGCTAATGTGAATGATTAAATCAAAGTATCTCTGTAGTAGAATCCAGGAAAAAAAGGTTGGGATACTCAGAAATGGAATAAAGAAGAAATGGGAGGATTTTCACATCCTTTTGTTCCACCCTGCTAATCTTAATATTTCCTCACAACACTAATATTTGTTTTCTGTATCTTTGGAATTAGAAAATCTTTAGCAAGGTATGCATAAAGGTCCAGTGAGACTGGACAGCAAATGTCAAGGAACTGATCCCTGTTTTACCCAAGTTCTAGATGCTGGTTGATTGCTATTTGACTTAAGGACCCACATTTCTTAAGATAGGTGAAGGGTTAGTTAGAACACAAAGTTAAGAAGACTTAAAAAAACATGACAGGTGTACAGTTGTAGGGGAAAGCGTTCCAAGTTTGATCACTATCATGAAGGCAGCAGGCCAAGTAGCAAGATTTGCAGCCTTTCCTACAAGGCAATATATGTGTGGTCTGCTATGGTTTGTGGATTATGCTAAACCCTGCTGTTGGTAGACATGGAGTGGTCAGTTGCAGAAGAGGACAGGGCTCCTGCATCTTCAACAGTTGTGTAGAAGGTATAGGTTGCCACAGGAGCAGCTATGTCGTGAGGCAGAGTGAGGCAGCTATCTCAAGCAGCAAATTCTGAGGGGCTAGAAAGGTGTGCCATGTGGTCTGCCCTGGAGCCCTGCAGCTAACTTGCTGCCCTCTCAGGTGGCCTCTGAAGGGGTGGGAGATCCCAATCCAGCCTTCACAAAGCTTCCACCTCAGCTTCAGGTAGGCAGAAGATACAGAAGAAGAAGAAGAAGAAGAAGAGTTTGGATTTGATATCCCGCCTTTCACTCCCTTTAAGGAGTCTCAAAGCGGCTAACATTCTCCTTTCCCTTCCTCCCCCACAACAAACACTCTGTGAAGTGAGTGAGGCTGAGAGACTTCAAAGAAGTGTGACTGGCCCAAGGTCACCCAGCAGCTGCAGGTCGAGAAGTGGAGACGCGAACCCGGCGTCTCCACTTCTCGACCTGCAGCTGCTGGGTGACCTTGGGCCAGTCACAGCTGAAAGCACTTCTTCTTCTTTAGCTCTCTGGGATAACTATGCAGATTTATAAATGATGAAGACTAAAGTTCAATTGACCCAATTCACAGGACACAATGCAGTCAGCATGTTAAACATAGTACAGTGGTACCGTGGGTTAAGAACTTAATTCATTCTGGAGGTCCATTCTTAACCTGAAACTATTCTTAACCTGAGGTACCACTTTAGCTAATGGGGGCTCCCACTGCCACCGCCGTGCGATTTCTGTTCTCATCCTGAAGCAAACTTCTTAACCCGAGGTACTATTTCTGGGTTAGCGGAGTCTGTAACCTGAAGTGTCTGTAACCTGAAGTGTCTGTAACCCGAGGTACCACTGTACTGTTATTGGATCTCCTTGAAAGAGATCAGTTTACATTGCTCTAGTTTTGGCAAGTATACCCATGTTTTATGATTTGGGTAGGATAAGAGTGAGAGAGAGGGTTGTGTTTCAGCTCAAGTGAAGATGAATGAAAAATTTAAAACAAAAACATCACTTAGTTTTAGGTATGGGCAAATCTGCCAATTTTGGTTTCTCTTAGGTTCTCATTTTTCCAATCTTAAATTTTGTTCTTTACATTTCTGTATCAGTTTGTGATATAAAAAGTTCTCATGAAAAATTTTCAGCATTTTAGTGCAAACGTGTATGTTTGTATGCAAGTTTGCTTAATGTACCCATTTGTGCAAAGCAGTTTCCCCTCACTTAACGCATTGTGTATGTTACTATTGCAAATAGATGCATTTTTATGCATTCATGTGTTAAGCCAATTACTTTGTGTGTAACTCTTGTGAACAACTGCAGTATAGTTTGTATAACTATAATCCTAACTAAAGCAAATGTCTTCACTTTTACTAGTGGCAAGTTTTTATTTCATCTAAACTTCAATGGACGCACCAGCCACCGATCTCCTATCAAGGCATTAAAAATGCCAGCCAAGTTGAGAAGACAGCATTATTCACCTGATCGTTCTCCTTTTGCCAAGGGAACCAGACTTGCAAACATTTTATGAGAGGCAAAACAGAAATTGGTCATAGTAAGTGGAAAGTTTTGCTGCAGATGAAGACACTTCATGTTAATCATGCTATTAAGTTAAAGGTGGCAAAATAGTTTGTTTTCCCTCCTTGCCATCACTTTGCACAGTAAATGCGTAATAATCCAAATATTTCTGTCACAAGTGGTCATATTTGGAGTCAGGCTTTTCTGCCATTAGCATGCCAGCTGCCATCACTTTTGCTTCATCTGATGGCCATCTGTACATCGCCACAGTGACAAAAGTTAAAGTCACACTAAGAGGAAGCAACATTTCATAACTGCTGTGCAAGACACAGCAAGATGCAGACCCTTCAAAAAGTAGCCTTCCATGCAACAATGTTATCCTTCAGAAGTGAGTCTCCAATGATAATGGTGTTAGCCACTTCCAGATGCAAGATATCAAAGCAGAAAGGGGAGAGACATCCCAAAGATAACCTGTCCATGACAGAAAACATCTAAAATTAAGTTTGACCTTTTGTTAACTCCCAATACCCCATTATGCCTCCATGTTTTTCTTCTGTCCTAGTAAAGGTTGACTTTTCCTCC